AATTTTCCATCTCCGCGGTTTACGATCGTACACCAAACCCGAGATGGGTCAATATCCACATGAAGCAAACACTCAGAGGATGCAGTTTTGCACGTAATCATTAACTCCCACTCGGCCCCAGCCCTGGCGCCGGGCCGTAAAATGTCCATTTTGCTTTACGTGGATGTTGGGTGGCGACGCGGACACCGCTGCCAGCAGTTTGCTCTTCGGAAATTCCTCCCTGGACATCAGCTACATCCCCAGGGCTCGGGGGAGAAAGGGATTTGGGAGCTGTTTGCACACAGCCAGCTGAAGACTAAAGCCAGAGGTGATGAGTATGGAGCAGAAAGCCAGGCATCCCGGCCAGATGTGTATTTACCCAAGACTGTCATTTTCCCTCCCCCACAAAAGCAGCCGACCAGACCCAGGCGACATTACTGCCGGGCACACGCTGAGGTTTCGCTGCCTCGCCTGCTCCTCTGCACTGAGGCAGAAGAGATGTCTAATAATCTGTGTGTGTCCCCGGCGCACATCCATCCTAATGAAACACATGGGAGGGAGGATCGGGTGGGCAGCTGCTGTGCTCCAGCATGCAATGCTGTTGAGTTTTGCTTTCTTAGTGCTCTACCTAAGCCCACAGACTTTACCACTCCTGGGCAGAGAAGCACACGAGAGAGGGGAAAATTAAACACGTTGCTTGGGAGCCTCCTAGTAATAGCATCACAAATTGATGCTGGGTATGCCTTGACCCAGGTGTACTTGCTAAGAAACAGCCTCGTCCCTTCCTTAAAGCCCTGGCTCCTGGCTGCATTACAGTAACAAGAGCCTCCTGCTCCAATACAAAGCCATTCGCCCAGTGCCTCCCAGCACTTTGCAGAACAGGAATGGCTGAAATGCAGCCATCTCAGGGGTGGAACTGGCTTGCTGCACAGGAACGCGACACGTCGTATTAGGACCAGAAGTAGTCAAGCGCGCTAGAAACTGCTGGCTGCTGCCCTGCTGGCGTGGGCCCCAGGGTGCGTTTGCAACACATAGCATGAAATGGCTTGTCGTGAAATATTTAACTGCTCGCTTTGGAAGCAAAGGACAAGACTGGATGGAGGACACGGGCAAGGTTTGCACCCGGTGCAGCCAGTAAAACACCCACTCACGCCTGGTAAAACACCCACTCGCTTGCCCTCTGTTGCCCTGCAGGTGCTCCGGACAGCGCTGCATTTATCTCACCGTATTTTGTTCTCGCCTTTTCAGTGCATGTCGCGGATCGGAGTGACGCAACCTCCGGTTTCGTCCTGTTCGGCTATTTAGGCCTGCGCTCAGGTGCAGACTCGCATCAAACAGCCCGTGTGCTGGTGCGGAAGGACACGGCATGCACCGGCAAAGGGGATCTACTGCAACGGGCAGTTTCAGTAAGTTTGGAGTTGGTTTTAATTCTGCGTTCTCCAGGCCCCGCTCAGACCGACACGGGAAAGCATCTTTCCCTCCTCTAGCATGTGCGGCAGGCAGAGAGTCTGGGGACAGCCAAGCAGCAAACAAGCCTGGGAGGGACATGGGGCTTGGGGACAGTCCTGCAGCACGGGAGATGGATGCTCTGCCGGAGAGAGATCTGGGATGAAAAGCTTTGCTGGGAGGGCTCCTGTATCCCAAGTCAGGCTCCTCCTCACCTGGCTGTTCCCTAGCCCCTTCCCAGGCCTGAAGGGCGCCTCTGATGGAGACTGGATGCAAACTTTGTGAAATGTTTTAGTCCAGCAGACTATATATGAGAGCTGGTTGGGAGCAACAGGAACCAGTCTCTTCCACCAGATGCTGCCCCTACCGCTCCGCTCAGCCTGGTGCCTCTCTCACAAGTGTAACAAGTCCTAGCCTAATTCTCAAAAGACATCTTTATCCCCTCCTCCCCACGCAGCCTCCAAAGCCCTCCTGCTCGGGCCTGCGAGGTCCCCAAGTGCTATTAGGACGCTGGGGGCATGCTACCTCTGCCCCTGGGACCATCTCAAGGGGCATGCTTCTCACGGGAGGCACAAGGCAGGCCTGTAGCTGGTCCACCCTGGAGCTGTCCCCAGGCTCCAGCCCTGCTGCTTCTCGCCAGGATCCTGGCCTGTCCCAAATGCCCTCCTCTCCTCTGGATTTGGGAGCTGAGCCTCCCTCAGAGGCATTTGGTGCTGGCTGCAGCCCAGGCTGGGGATGGGGACTGGGCTGTGCCAATGCTCCTGCTGGGATTAAAGCCACTCAGGACAAATGAAACGTCTTTGGATTATTTTTGCCTCCTTTGTTGTGTTTGTGTATGTAATATATGATATAGCAAATTAATGCACATTCCCATAAAGGTTTTTATCTATTTCTTTTTGCAGAAGACCATAAGAATGGCCACTGACTGGGTCGGACCATAGGTCCCTCTTGCCCAGTCCCGTGCCAGGCAGCGGCAGAGAGCGGATGCTGAAAGGGAGAGTGAACAGGGCATAACCAGGGCTTTTCCTCACTGTTCCTCTTACTTGCAGCCTCCAGCAATGAAGGCCCTTGCTTCGGAGGCCGTGCCCTTCACCCCTTTCTCAATGGCCGCTGCCCCTGTCCTCCATGAACTTGCTCAACCCTTTTTGAATCTGTCTAGACTGTCAGCTTCCACCACATCTGGTGGCAACAAGTCCCACCCTTTAATGGCCCACTGGGGGAAAAAGAGTTTCCTTGTGTTAGTTTTAAACTTACAACCTACCGGATCCCTTTTGTGAACCCCTCATACTTATATTGAGAGCTAGTAACGAATAAATCCCTATGGACGTCCACTTTGCCAGTTAGCATTTTGCAAACCCTTCTCGTGTTCCCCCTTCAGCATCTCTCTTCTAAACCGAACAGGCCTGGCCTCTCTACTCTCTCCTCCCCTCCATGCCCCTCATCCTCCTGGTTGCCCTTCTCTGGACCTCCTCTAGCTTTCCTATATCCTTTTCGAGGTGTGGGAGACCAGAACCGGGCACAGGATTCAAGGTGCGGATGCAGTGTGCATTTATAAAAGGGCACGATGATACTTTCCTCTCTTATTTATATATCCCCTCTTAATAAATCCTAATTTCAGTCTTAAATGGCATCAGTGTTAAGTTGAATTATACAGCTCTAGGCCCCTACTTATTAGTAAAGCGTCTAGTTTCTTTTTGACTGGAGAAAAATGTGTGGTGTGGTGTGCTCTGCGGGATGGTGCGCCACAGCATCTGCACCTCCCCTTTCAAACTCCTAGATCCTCCTGGTAGTTCCTCCCTACCAGGGGCAAAGTTTAGGCTTCGCGGCCCTGATCCTGGCTCCTAAGGGTGAGACCTGGGGGCTACGTGCACTTTAATAGCCTTCTGGGGCAGTCGCTCTCACCCGGGGCCCCTTGAGATCCACTCCAGGGCTCCACAGGGTACCACAGTGTCAGCACCGTTAGGGCCACAAGATCGACTTGGAGGTGTCACACAGGAATCCAGTGTGTTGAGGACATTATGACCAATATTGGCAATACGGAAACAGGTAGCATCTCATCCAGCCCTTGAAAACCTCCTTGTGCTTTGGGAACTACCCACGTGTGAATAGAGCCGGACGGCATGTGAACAGAGATGCCAAGCACCCATTGTTCCGGCTGGGCGGCCTCAGTATCCCACAATGCACTGCTGCCACATCCCACAATGCTTTGCATTGCCTCGGGGATGCCTTACTACAGCGCGCTGGGCGTGCAGCCAGCGCTGGCACAGTGTGGTGCCTACACGCTCCAGAGGCTCAGCAGCATCAGCGATTGTGAGTTGACAAAACTGCTGCCGACAAGCCCGGCTGGGGAAGCGAGCATAGCGCTAGCATCGGGGCCGTGTGGTCGCCGCTCCGTGACAGCCCCAGCCACAGGTCCTGCGAGAGCGGCTAGAAACCTCCTCCCCTTCCTGGTTTCAGTTCTCTTCAACGTGCAGTTGCTCCAGCTCTCAGCCCATGGCAGCCTTGCTGCTGCTAGAGCTGGGCAGAAGGACCGCGTGGGACCGGAGATGACGGGTCATCCTGCACGACTGAGAATAGCAGCCGTTCAGGCTGGGCTGGTTGGCAGGCTCGGGTGCGTCCAAGCGGCTGGCCGCATTTCCGACAGCATCACCTCCTGCACTTCCTACCCCCGGGGCATCTCAAAGCCTGTAGGCCCCTTGGGAGGTCTAGGACGTGGGAGCAAGTTGCCCCAAATCCCACCCGCAGTTTGCAGACCAGGCAAGGAGCTCTGCTGCCGATCCCACGCCTTCCTCGCAGCATCCATCAGGCTTCCTCTCAACCACGATGCCATCCCAGCGCCCTCTGACTGCTGTAGCTCCCGCCAGCTGCCTCGGGAGTAGGATTCAGGGTCTTCCCTTTGAGGCTGACTAGGCTCCCCAGCTCATCGGCTGTAGGGAAGGGGTTAGGGCTCGTTGTTCAGCATTTCCACACATCTCCGTCTGTACCAGCGGCCCTGCCGGTCAGGACGGCATCTCGGACAGGACTGGATTGCCGTCTAGTCAGATGGCAGTCTTCAGCCAAGAGCAGCCATACCACGGCAAGCTCCCTTTGCCCCTCGAATGACTGGCTCCAGGGACACAAGCACCACCCCAGCTGCTCCAGGGCAGAGCCCAAGGGCCTGGCTTCATGTAGCACAATTCCTTCGTGCTAAGAGCTCCTAGTAGCCCAGCCCAGCCCTGCCTTGCCCTAGGGAAGACAAACAGCTTCCTGAAGAGGCTCATCAAAGCCTGGCTTGGCTCCAAGGGGCAGCTGGAGCTTTTCACCTCTTAAGTATTCACGGAAGAGTCCTCGCCCCTCGAGTACATTAGCATGAATTATGAATCCAGAGAAGTACCGAGCAGCGGCATCGCTGTAGGCTCCACAGGGCATTGCCTCCGTCGCATGCAGGCTGTAACCCTTGCTCCGGTCTCCTGCAGCATGGTGTCCTCCTGCGTCCGCCCATTGCTTCTTCTCCATTTCCCGCCAGTAGAACGGCCTCCATCCTGCGGCCATCTAAGTCTGAGCTCCCTGCTAGGAGCATGGGGGTCATTCCAGCTGGAGGAGGGAGTTACCAAAGGCTTTTCCTGTTCAATAGGCTCTTTCACTGTCACTGGTATACCGCCAGTACCTCCTTTGCAATCTTATCTGGACTATGAACAACCGTGGAAGCAAGCACCCAAAGGGAGCGCTGGGGGAAGGGGGTGCACCGACAGCTTGCAGCCTCCGTACACCGTGCTATGGGATGCATCTCTGCCCCCTCCTGCCCACATACCTCAGACAGAGGGGTGGGGGCTTGCTATGCAAAGGTTTCCTATCAGGACCCTAAGCTGTCCTACTAAACCATACCTCTAACGCAGTGGGGGCCTCTGGCCAGCTCTGCAACCTAGCACCTGCACGGTATGCACTTTTCTGCCTCCCCTCCCCACCCACCCACAACTCGGGTGCATCCATGCGCCGAGTCTGCACACCTGAGATTGTATTGCGCAAACCCTGTGCCACTGATGCAAAACCTATAGGAGTGGTTCCCTCATGCTCCTGTCCCCATACCCGTGACCAAATGTTGGGGCTTCCCTAGGCAGGATCATTTTACCCCTCCTTTAAAATCCCCGGTGGGTTGCAGCAATGTCCCTCTTCACACTAGAAACAGGAGTTCTAGGAGTTTTGCATTTCTTTGAGTCTTAGACCAACACGGCTACCAAATATACCGCTCTTTGCGCTAGCTCCCCTTTGCTACCTTCACTCCAGGACACAGGAGCTAAGAAAAGTTCTGATGTGCCCCAGGCTGAGGCCGGGTCTAGGGAAGACATCCTGGGTGCTCCTCGTCCACGGAGAGAGGTGACGGTCTGAACCCAGCTGTGCAACTGGTACAGAAGTAAAGACACCCCCATGGAGCCTTGCAGAGGGTTTGAGATAGAAACAAAGGAAACAGCAGCAGTGAGCAAAAGGGAAGGGACTACATCCCTCGAAAGGCAAAGGAGGCATCCCATGGGTGAGGGGCCTGTGATGGCCCCTGCTTGCAGAGCTGGGTGCCATCATGGCCAGGGATCCTGCAACCAACCAGGGAGGGATGGGAGAAAGGAAGAGCAGAAATGTAAACCAATGACGGGACTGAAACGATGCAGCTCCAGAGACCCAGGAGCTCTTCAAGCCAACTTGAACCCAACAGGTACACCCAGAGATGCATCTCAGCAGGGAAGGGGAAGGGAGCTCACAGGCTTATTTCTGTATGCTTTGTTTCCTTTGTTCAGAAATGCACCCTCACCTCTGCTGTCTCATCTCCAAACAGTGGCCAGGCACATGCAGACAGAACAAAGGATCTGCCTTTGGAAATAGCATGCATGGGGGAATCCTGTGGGCTTGCTTATGGTATTCCTGCCTGCCTTTCGTTACGGCTGCCAGTGCAGGTTCAAAACCTCTGGCTGTCGGCAAGGCAGAAAGAGACTCTAGCAACATAAACCAAAGGGTTGAGAGCAGCAAAACACCGACCCCGTTGCATGCACCTGAGCGTTCAAAGCCTGTAACTAAGCCTTGCTAGCAATGCAGTGCCTGGCCACAAAGACATGATCTTTATGAACAGATGTGCAATGCAAACATGCAGGGCAAACACAACCACAGCCTGCTGGTTCCCCCAGTCAGAGTCCAAGTCCAGAACAAAGTGCTTAAATCCGGGTCGTGGAGCGAGGTTAGGAATGGCTTTATTGCTAGCCCAGAGAGGGGCTTGGCTTAAAGAACAAGGCAGAAGCAACTCCGATCTCTTGTGTGCAGAGTTTCAGGTTAATCTTAGCCTGGATATCTTGTCCAGCCCCTGGGTCAATCTCAGCAAGGCTCTCAGTCGGGTATGCGTTCAGCTCTGATGGCACATCTCTAGGAAGAGGAAGGTCTCCTGTGATCCGCCTGCCACAAATGAGCTCTGGTGGGATCACTGATGAGAACTGGCTGGCAACACGCAGGCTGGGGCAACCTCCAGCTACCTGTTTTCTCAGAAATGATGCATCAGCCACAGCCACCCCTGCCTGTGACAGGGGTAGAAGCAGTGTTTACTGCACTATCCCCACCCACCTTCACCGTGACAATCTCCTCTCTGCCATCTGCCACAGATACAACTCGGAAGAGTGTCCGCATATGCTTTGCCACGCCAAGTCCTGCAGGGCTGTCTCGAACTGTCTGTCATTTCTTGCACGCTGCCCGGTTACGGTCCTGCGAAGTAGAAGAGGTTTGTGGCCTTGAAGCAGCTGGAGGATGACTGCCTCCACACTGGAGTTTCCAGCATCGCACTAAGTGCCCGGGGACCGATGGCAACGTAGGAGCTGCAAGCTTCTCGTCTGAATGCCCCGACTCCTATTCCCATGCGTGGGCCGGCTCGGCACATGACCCCATCAGACATGGCCTCCTTCTTTTGGGAGTCCCATGACCACTGCTGGTCACAAATCGCCTGCAGTATATTATGGCTCCCATTCATTGCCTATTCCTATTCTTGACTGGGTGCTGTGAGAGTTGCTGAAGTCCTGTGGATGAAGCAGCAGGCAGGCACCCTGCTTCTAAATTAGGGGTGCTCAACCCCCAGCCCATGGGCCTACCCACCGGTCCCAAAATTTGGGGCTGGCAGAGCATCGTGGGCTATGGCTGTGCATACAAGATCAGGCAATGCAGGGCAGCGTAGGGCCCCATCCCAAGGCAGGCAGGGGTGGCGTGGGGCCAGCCAAGGTCACGTGGAGGCAGGGTGGGCTCCGATCCAGCCCGTGGACTGGCTCCAAACCACTCGTCTAGCCCATGAGAGCAAGGGTGAGCTCCACTGCTCTAAAGCAAGCACGGACATGCTGATTGGTGCAGCAAGTCTGCTTCCGGAGGTGGAGAGACGGGCACCACCACGAAGAAGAGTACGCTCTAGGAAGGACTGGAGAACTGCAGGAGTGCAAACAGAGGATTATGGGATAGAACAGAAGGAATTGTGGGAACTGGAATATACTAAAAAATGTCCCACGTGGCGCTAGGCTGGATGCCAGCATAGGGGTCCGAGGGAGGCTAACCCACAAAGCAGCCCCGCTTTCACCAATGCAACCAAGTGCAGCGAGGACATGC